CCTGATGGGTCAGATTCAGTGATTATGTTAGGGATGAAATCGAAATCGTGACACAAGTCAGCCCAAAGGGTATCAGCCCTGGGACTTTTGCAGGGCCCTGGTGGCACCTGGGTGTAAATCTAGCACCCTAGAAGGCTGAGGCAAGATGATCACAAGTTTGAGCCCAGCTTGGATAACTTAGAGACTTAGTGAAACTGTCTCAAAACAAAAAATAAAAAGTGCTGGGGGATAGTGTAGTGCAAAGGCCCTGGGTTCAATCCCCAACACTGTGGGGAGGGAACAAAAGCCTTTCTCTGGCTACTGGGGCTGCTGAGCTGGCAGCATGTGGGCCTGGGGTTGATGGGGGCCTATCTCTCTCAGTAATGGGTAATGCCGCCTGAGAATGAAGCCAGCACTGAGGAAAGCAGCACTGAGCCTAGGAGCAAAGAGAATACAAGACAGATACCTGTGGGTACTGGATCTGGCTGATCCAGCCTCATCTGAAGTTGTTAACTATTTCAGGCAAATTATCTTTGGTTTTTCTTAAACTAGTTTAAATTTCAGTAATCTAACTGATTTCTTAGTACTGATCATTTTCATCACTGGGAAGGGACGTGGGTAGAACCTGAATTGTCCTTCTAGTATCCTCGGTCCCTGAGCAAGACAACCCAGTCTGGCTCTGAGGTCCTCACTGATCCCTCTGAAGTGACACTCCTCGCACAGTATCACAAGCATCTGGCCTCCTGAGTTCTCCCTGTGCTCCAACTTGGCAAGCTTCTTGTTTCACTATGATTCCCCCTGAATCCTGAAGTCCTTTTCTCCTCCCACTGGGGAGGAGGTCAGAGTTGGCTTTGGATTCAGGCCACCTTCTACTCCCTGGGTGACCTGTAGCCAGACACTTAAGCCCCTGGCCTCAGCTCTGTATCATGAAGGCTGCTTTGGAGTTAGGGATTATGGGTGCCTTCTGTGTGTACCAAGCCATGTGGGGCCCAGCACTGAGGAGGCAGCGACAGAACATCAGTTCTGGTGAAACAGTACCTCACCCTCCACCGCCTCTCTCCCTGCTGACTTCAAATGAGCTCAAGCCGGTGGGAGCTGGAAAAAGCCCCTCCCTTGCCTGCTGCCTTTCCAGTTGCCCACTCAGCTCCCTGCCATGGGCTCTGCCCCCTCAGTGGGGGACACTGCACTCTCGAAGGTTGTTAATGGTCTCCCTGCCTGGAACAAAGATATTCATTTTCCCAGACCCTGTAGCCTCCACCCACACAGCCTTGTACCCCACTTTGGGAACACAGTGATCCTTACGGCCCTGTGGTGACAGGGATGGGAGGGGATAGGAGAGGCTAGATGGTTTAGGGGGTAGTATCTTGACCTTTGATCCTTGGAGTAACAGTTCCGGGTCATTCCAGGAGGGTGGCTCTGGATAGGTCAGTTTTTCTCTTCAAGCCTCAGTTTTCCCATCTAAAACATGAGTTCGTTAACATCCTTCTTCCCAGGCATGGTGGCACACACCTGTAATCCCTGCTACTCAGGAGTCTGAGGCAAGAGGATCACCAGTTCAAGGTCAGCCTGGCCAATAAATCAAAAAATTTTAAAGTGTAAGCTCAGTGATAGAGCACTCCTAGGTTCAATCCCTAGTATCACAAAAAGACATCAATTTTTAAGGAAAGGATGATTAAATGTCACGTGATTACTTTCTCAGCATATAGAATGCAGAGTGAGGTAGCCAATCAGATTCCTTTTATTGTGCTGGGTGTGCTAGCACATGCCTATAGTCCTAGTACTGCCTATAGTTCCAGCACTTGGAGGGTTGAGGCAGGTGGATTGCTGTAAGTTCCAGGCCAGACAGTCCAGAAAAAAAATTCCTTTGTGTGTATGTGCATGTGTGTATGTGTGGTACTGAGGATTAAAACTAGGGTCTTTGTACTAAGCTATATCCTCACCCCTTTTTAAAATTTTGAGACAGGATCTTGCTAAGTTGCTAAACTCCCCAGGCTGGGGTTGAATTTGCTATCCTGCTTCAGCCTCATGAGTGCTGAGATTATAGGCCTGAACCACCATGTCCAGCTTTCTGTTTTATTTATTTATATCTATTTATTATTATTTATTTGGGGGGGTTGAGACAGGATCTCACTATGTAGTTGAGACTGACCTGGAACTCACTAGGTAGCCCAGACTGGTCTCAAACTCACAGCTATCCTCCTGCTTCAGCCTCCTGAGTGCTGGGATTACAGGGGTGCGCCACCACGCCCGGCCTTATTTTTTAATTTTATTTATTTATTTATTTTTTGAGATAAGGTCTCACTATGCAGTTCAGGCTGGACTTGAATTTACTGTGTAGCCCAGGCTGGCCTTGAACTCAGTGATCCTCCTGCCTCAGCCTCCCAAGTGCTGGGACTACAGGAATGTACCACAATGCCTGGCTGTTTTGTTTGAGACAGTCTTCCTATGTAGCTCAGGTTGGGCTTGAATTTACAATTCTCCTGCTTCAGTCTCCTGAATGCTGGGATTACAAGCATGTGCCACCATACCTGGCTTTCTTTACTCTGTCTTCTTATATTCTCCCCCCACCCACTTTCCCAGTCCTTTGGAAGCCACTTCCCACTTCCTCCCTGCATCCTTGTCCTGGCCTGCTCAGATGACAGTGACCTCCTCTTGGCCCACCATAGCAAGCCTCTTAAAAGAGCTGTCTGCACCCTCTGCTTCCACATCCTCCCTGTCCTCCCCCACCCCTTGTTCCTCTTTAACCCTGGCAGCCGCCCCAGCTCTCAGCTAAACTGATCTGGCAAATGTCACCTTGTTGCAAAACACCACAGGGACTCCTCAGCCTTATCTGCCTGGTTGACATTGTTGGCAACTTCTGGAAACACTGCCCTGCCTGCTTCCCTGCCCTGGAGCTCTCTAGAGGCTGTACTCCTCTCCCCTGGTGGCTCCCTCTGCTTTTTCTGCCCAGTGCTTCAATGTTGGTGTTCCAGGCCTCTCAGTTCTCTGTGTTGAGGCCCTAGCTGTCCTCACACTGAATTTGGCAAATATTTATTATTTGTAAAATAGGATTTACAAAAAGAAACAGTTGCCAATACTAAAAATCCAGCTCTCACATAAAAGTCTGAACCTCTGGATGCTGTCGATATACTGGCCATTCTGGCTGCCCAGCCTGGCATTCCCACAGCTCTTGGTTCAGGATGAAGGCTGTGATCCCGACGAGTCCCCAGCAGCAACTGCCACTAGCCTCCATGCTCCTGCTCGCTTGTATCCATGGAAACTGAGGATGGATTGAGAGGGTTTCATGGTTCAAGAGAAGTGGAAAAGAATACACTTCCTTGTGAAGTGAAAGATAACTGTGTTTAATATTTGGGTTGAAAGAAAATCACATCCCACCTACTTTACTCCTGATGCCACCTGCCTGGGCCCTGCTCCCCAGCTCTCCCCAGGAATCAATTACAAGCTTTTACGTTGAGTGCCCTGAACTGAATCTGAGGTGAATCTAGTCTTGAACCTTCAGCTGCTTCTGGCTGTGTCTCCTAGGCACCTCATTCAGTCATTAAACAAACATATTTTTAGGGATCCACTAAGCCAGGCACTGTTCTAACTCTGGCAGGATATCATGGAAATAAAACACAAACCCCTACACTCATTCTCTAAGGATCCAAGACAGAACACAACCAAGACCCTTAAGGATTTGTGTGTGTGCGTGTGTGCGTGTGTGTGTGTGTGTGTGTGTGTGTGTGTCTGTCTGTCTGCGAGCATGTGCTTACACTGAGTACTGAGCCCAGGCCCTCCTGCATGCTGGGAAAAGGGCCTCACCACTGACTACACTTCTAGCCCTGGTCCCGTGATTGGTTCAAAAGGCCAAAAGATGTGCCTAAGGTCCTCATGCCAGGGACTCTGAAAGGACAGGCACCCATGAGCACAAAGTTGTCCTGGCCTCCTAGTTTGGGGTCCTCTCTTCAGTCCCTCTCCAGGCCAGGCTGGGGACAGGAAAGTTGAGTTTCTCTAGGGTAGTGGAGAGCATAGTTGGAAGCAGAAAGCCCCTGGGAATGACAGGACAACCACCAGAGCCTCCAGTCCTCAAGGTGCCAGACAGCAGATACTTCCCAGTGGGGCACTAGCTAGCATATGGAGTTTAGTGGCAGCCAGTCTCAGGACAGTGCCCTCAGCTTCAGGCCTGGTTTTTAGTCTGGCTTATAGCTCAGATGCTGTGGGACTGTGGTCAAGTTTCTCAACCTGAGCTGCATCTAGAAAATGACCAGGTTGGTGGGATAATCACAAGACCATGTAAACCGTTATCTAGTATATTCTAGATGCCTAACAGAGTCGTCCTTCTCTCCTCTTACCCTCTGGGCCATCACTCTGAGCTCCTGGGACCTGTTACTGGGTCCTATCTCTGCCACTACCTTTCCTTGGCCCCTGTCCTGACCCTTCCTCCCAGCCTCCTTCCTCTCATGTACTTTTTTCACTGCCCTCCGGGCCTCTAAAATACAAACCTCTTTATTACTTCAAACCCTGCCCCGCTCTGAGGAAACAGTCCCAGGCCCTCACCTGGTTACTGTGGCTTCCCAAGACCTGGGACCAGCCTCTCCAGCCGTCTTCTGTCCCATTCTCAAGCATGCAGATGTTGGATCACAGATGGTCCCTCAGGGCTTTACACTGGCTGTGGCTTCTTTGCCCCATCTCTGCAGATCCACTTTCAGCTCCTCCACTGCAGCCTCCAAGCAGGCCAGACCAGTGGCTCTCCTCACATCTGGTACTAGGTCCACCACCTGGGTCCCTTCCTGTGCTACCTCCTCGTGACCATGCACCTTCCCTGTCCTCATCAGGAGGATCATTAAGAACGGCCAGCTCCAAGAAAGCTATCTTTAACCCTGTCATATGCCTCAAACCCCACCATTTCTAGTCTTTTTTTTTTTTGTACCAGGGTTCGAACTCAGGACATCACACTTGTGAGGCAGGAGTGGAGCACCTGAGCTAAATTCCCAGCCCTCCCGCCATTTCTGATGCATGACAGAAGGCACAGAGCACACAGCTGGATATAGGTTTATTGTGGCATCGGAAGTGAACAGGGGCCGGTGTGGCCAGCACCAGAGTGAGAGTGGTGGGGGAAGTGTGTGTGACAAGGGAAGGAGTGAAGAAGTGAGGCAGTGTCCGGGGAACCCCAGGCTTTGGCCAGGAGTGGGGGTTGGGGTACCCACTGCTAACCCCACCAGAAATGTTGGGGCCGACTCCAGATCCTTCACTCTTCTGGCTGGGTGGGGCTGGGGGAGGGGCTCACACGTGGGAGAAGGCGTGGCTCTTGCAAAGGGGCTTGTCCTTCTTGGAATAGAAGGTCTTTCCTTCCAGATTGATCTGACATATCTGGGGACAGCAGAAGTGCAGTCACATGGGGTTGAGGACAGCAGGAGAGCTCCCTTCCCAACCTCACAGGCACCCCACAGGCAGGAGTGGAGAGAAGGCTCCGGGCAGGGTTCAAGCTGAGGGGTGGGGCTCTCACCGCACAAACGAAACACGTATCATGCCAGCTGAAGCCCAGTGCTTCCAGGAAGCGGTCCCCAGCATCGATCTTGAAGTCACAGCCACGGCATTTGGTGCCAAACATCTTTTCATAGTCTGGGGTAGAGGCGGAGAAAGGAGCCTAGATTTACACCTGTCTTTCGCCTCATCCCTTTTTGCTCTCAGTAGGCCATCCCCGCCCTGTACCTCGCTCGCAGTAGGGCGCCCCTTCCTCCATGTAGAAGGCCCTGTTGCGAATGGGCGTCTTGCAGGCAGCGCAGGTGAAGCAGTGCACGTGCCAGGTCATCTTCAGGGCGTGCATGATCTCCTGAGAGGAGGTAACAGTCACTCCATCAGGCTCGGCCCCCTCCACCAGAGTACAGGTCACAGGAAGGTGCCTTCCTCCTCTTCCTGGCAAATACTACGTCTGCACAAGTGCAAGTCCCCCGGCTCTGTGGCCACCTCGGGTCTCCCCGTGGATGTTGGCCTCTCAGCCTCGCCACGTCCACAACTCAGCTCCCAATCTCTGCACTGCACACCTGCTCCTCCGAGTGGATGGTGATCCCATCCTTCTATTGCTCAGGCTCAATCCCTTTCTTGCTCTCACATCGCACGTCAGGTCTACCAGTAAATCCTCTAGGATCCACCTAGAAGACACAGCCATCATCCATCAGCGTCCCTGATGTGAGCTACGGCTGTCTCTGGTCCGAGTGACTGCACAAAACTAGCTTCTGCGCTCCAACCTCTGCTCCTACAGACAACCCCATCCTGGCATCAGTGAATCTCTTCAGCCCACACCAGTGCATATCACTTTCTCAGGACCCTGCCAGGTTTCCTGTTTGTCAGAAAAAGCGGGGTGGGGGGCAGGGATTTAGTTCAGTGGTGCCATACTTACCTTGCAAGTGCAAGGTCCTGAGTTTGATCCCTGGTATTGGGTGGAGGTGGGGGACTGGGGGGAAGTCAAGTCCAATGCAGGGCCCAGAGGCCAGTAGGACTGGCCTGTCCCGTACCCCCACCGCCCACTGCTCGCCTCTCATGTTCCTATCTTGATCCTGTCACCATAAATGCCAGGCACACAGACTTGGTGTTTACACTGGCTATCCCCCGACTGATCACTCTTGCCACAAGTCTCAAGGCTCCCTGGTCCCTCAGCTCCTTTAAATTTCTGCATAGATACCACTGTCCTATATGGCCCCATGGATCACACCAGTAAATTCTTCAGTCTGCCTTCCCTTGCCAGCCTCCTGGCACCTTTTACTCTGCTCCTCTTAACATACTTCTAGATAACTTACTTAACTGTCTCACTGTCTATCCTCCATTCTTCTGGCTACAGTCTTGGGCCAGGAGGGCATGAGGCAGCAAATGCTCTATTAACAGGTCTGTCCCAACACTGTCTGGCTCATACTGACTCCTCATCCATCAGTGGGAGCTGACTTAACCTGGCTCCACTGTAGAGGTTTATGGGATGGGCTCTTGCTAGGGCTGGGCTGTCCATCCCTGGGATCCGCAAGCCAACCAGGACAGCAGCATTCAGATCTAGAGTGGGCAGAGGACAGCATGGGGTGACTTAGCTAATGGTTTTACTTTGTCTGGAGATATGGTTGTTTCCTTGTAAACTTGCCCTTGCAGGACTTCTATAAGAATGGTCCTCCATTTGAGGCCAGGGGTCTCAAATTAATCCTTACAAGGGTTATTGGATTGGGACAGTCATGGAGGAAATTTTCTGCCTGGCTTCTATGGGGAGCATTGACCAGTTCATTGAGGGATGCCTAGATGGCTCAGGTTGAAATCTAGGTATTAAAGTGGAATCTTCTGCTTAAAAAAAATATTTTTTTCCCTTTTTTTCTTGCAGTGCTGGGGATCAAACCCAGTATGTCAAGAATGATAGACACGTGCTCTAGCTACATTCCTACCCTTGTGTTTTACATGATGGCCACTGATTTAGAAATGAAAATGTGGCTAAGCAAGATATAAATGTGAGTGACACCTACTCTCACATGACTTGTTTGTGCCCTCTACATCTATCTCATATATTGTGTGCATCTCATGGGGCCCAGAGGAAGTGACTTGCCCCAGCCCACACAGCCCATAGAAGCTAGAAACAGGTTCTGTGCCCACACCTGGCTAGCTCCAGGGCTGGCTCTTCACTACCTGATGCTGCCTGTTTCAAGGGACAAAGAGTCAAAATGAAGGACATGCGCTTCTATCTGGTGGGAGAGGGAGCTCCTGCAGGGGTGAAGGGGTGGCCAGGGCTGGAGCCTAGAACCGGAAAGCAGTTTTTCTGCCAGTATTTAATAGAACTTGTGGACCAGTTATCAACTTGTTTCTCGCTGCCTGGGTGTACTAAATTTGTCTGCTGCTGGCATCCCTATTGCCCTGGCCCAGGCCCCAGCAGCCTCTAATTCCCTGGCTCCAGCTCTACCTTCCACTCTGCCCCCGAGGAAACTTTCCGAGGCACCTCTGACTGCCTCAGTCACTCAGCTCCAAATCTGAGCTGGCCTTCTGCCCACTTCTGCTTCCTCTAATACTTTTTGCAACATAAGCTATTCCCTCTGCTTGCATCTTCTCTGTGCAAATTCCTACTCATGTTCAAGTTCCACTTAGAGGCCACTTCCATCAAGTGTTTGCTGACCAGTTCTTATGTGGGGCACAGTGCTTGATGCAAACACTCACGGGGAAGGAAGATGACCAAAGGGCTGAGGTGCAGTGGGATAACTGAGGGCGGGGGCTGGCCCGCTAAGGAGGGCGAGTATCAGGGAAGGTGTTCCTGAAGAAGTGATGATAGTTCAGTCCTAGATAAGGAGTAAGGTTAAAAAGGGTGCTAAGAGTGTGCAAAGACCCTGTGGTAGAGGGAAGAGGATTCACTGGTGAAATGGAGAGGGTTAAGTGGCTGGACCAGGAATGAGAAAGACTGGTGTGACTAGCCTCTGCTGTTTTCCCCTATCCTCCAGAGTCTGCTGAAGTCTGCTGAAGCAATCTGACTCCCCCCTGTTACAAACTGAGAGATCCAAGGGCAAGTACGTTTTTTAGTGTGGGCATAAGTAGGGCACAAGGCCAGTGGCTAGGAATATTTCCAAGGAACTGGATAGGGAGAGTCCCTAATGGAATACCTGCCAGATTGGTGAGGTCAGACTCCTGACCCCTGGAAGGGTGAGGTGGGGTTGCTTAAGGTCTGTCTAGAGCTGAGGCCTCCCTGGTATCAGCCTAACTTGGGGGAGAATCAGTGTTTGTCATCGTCTTACTCCAGGACCTAGGAGCTAGCAGGGCCCTCTAAGCCTCCTCTCTAGGGTGTGGGGTGCAAAACCTGCCCCATTCACAAGATTCACCCCACTGATATGAACAGCACCACAGCATGCCAGGTGTGGTGGCGCACGCCTGTAATCTCAGCACTCAGAAGACCGAGGCAGGAGGATTGCTGTGAGTCTGAAGCCAGCCTGGATCACACAGTGAGTTCAGTGGGGGTGTGAACTTATTACATAGGGAGGCCTTGTCTCAGGCAAAACAGAAGAAAACAGGGGCCGGGATGTAGCTCAGTGGTTCCACCACCTGCCTCCCAAGTGCAAGGACCTAAGTTCGATCCCCAGTACCAACAAAACAAAACAAAAACCCAGAAGAGAACAAAAACAACAACAACAACAACAACAACAAAAACGAAAAGCACCACAGCAGAGCTTTGGCCACATGTGGCAGCCCTACTTCTGGGTCCAGAAATGGAGAAGTGTGAAGCGAGGTGAGCCCCAGGTGAGAGGAAAGGGTCTGGGACCGCTCCCAGCCTGGTGCTCATGCTCTGGGCCACCTTGGGCAGTTTTTTCCCTTCTATGGTCCTCAGTTTCCATATATGTATAGCCAGAACCCACTCCGCTTGTCAACCCTGACTGCACTGTCTTCTTTTCCCCTACAGACAAAGAACACTCAGCCTGTGATACCCTCCAAGTCCCCACCCTCACTACGAGCGCCTGGGGTCAGAGCCACACCTGCCTTGTTCACACCTCGCTCCCGGTGGGATGCACACTGCCTGGGCACAGAGTCCACACTCAGTAAAGGAGACAAATGGGTGAAGATGGACGGCCCATTACTCTAAGCTCTTAACACATGCACATGAGGTCCCAGGGAAGCCCAGCTCTAGGTGACACCTGGTCGGGCTACACTCTGTGCTTAGCTTCTGTGGGAAGAACAAGATTTTGAATCTTGTCTTTGAGTATGAATTTCTGCCTTTCCCACTTTGCCTGTGTGCTTAAAGCCCCTCAAGCTATCTTCTAGTCTTAACTTTCTCGTGCATTAGAAGCAGCAGACACTGGATTAGCCTCTCAAAAGCCTTTCGTAATGCTGTTCTTTTCTGAGCTGGACAGTTAAAATACAGCTGGCCCTCTGGATCGGTGGGTTCATCCACAGATTTAATCAACCACAGATCAAAAATGTTTGGGAAGCCGGGCGTGGTGGTGCACGCCTGTAATCCCAGCACTCAGGAGGCTGAGGCAGGAGGATCAGAGTTCAAGACCATCGTGGGCTACATAGTGAGTTCCAGGTCAGTCTCTACATAGTGAGACACTGTCTCAAAAAACAAAACAAAAACAAAAATATTTGGGAAAAAATTGCACCTATATTGAACATGTGCAGATATTTCCCTTGTCATTATTCCCTAAACATTATAGTGTAACAACCATTTACATAAAGTTTACATTGTATTAGGTGTTATCAGAAATCTAGAAATGATTTAAAGCATACGGGAAGCCAGGCATAGTGGCTCACACTTGTAATCCCAGTACTGGGGAGGCTAAGGCAGGAGGATTGCTGCCAGGTGGAGGCCAGCCTGGATTACATCATAGTGAGCTCAAGGCCAGCCTGAAGCACACAGTGAGACCCAGTCTCCAAAACAAACAAACAAAACAACATGTGAGAGGGCACTGGTAGGTTACATACAAATACTGCTCCATTTTATGTAAGAGGCTTGAGCATCCTTGGAGTTTGGTTCCTGTGAGGAGTCCCGGAGCCAACAAGTATACTGGACTTTCTGCTTCCCTTGTAGCCCAGGAAGTCATACGATAACAGTTACAGCCAGTGTCATAAAGATGGAAGCCAGTTCCTGTCTTATCTTTGAGTTCAAAGACAAAACCTCATTGGGGCTGGGAATTTGGCTCAGTGGTTCCAATGCCTGCAAGCACAAGGACCCGAGTTCAATCCCCAGTACAAAAAATAAAAGGGGGCAGAAATTTAGCTCAGTGCTGCCTGCAAGGTCCTGATTTCAATCCCCAGTACCAAATGTTAATTGCCCCTTTCCTCTCCTGGCTGGAACAGTAAGACAGGCCTGGGACTTTAAGAGCCATCTGGCAAGCATGACACAATAAGGTTAGAGACAAAGGTCTGCAATGCTAATGATTCTGGAGCAAAAAGGTGAGAAAAGGCTAAGATCCAAAGACACTTTTTTTTTTTAGCTGCTGTTCCAGTCTTGGAATTCCTGGGATTGAAATAACTTTCTCTATTTAAATCTCTTGGCCTGTATAGCAGTTCCTTTTTTATCTTTGTGTGGTTCTGGGGATGGAGTCCAGGGGTACTCTACTGCTGAGCCACATCCCTGGCCCCCTCCCCCACTTCTTTTGAGACAGTTTTGCTATGTAGTCCAGATTGGCCTCAAACTCACAGCCATCCTCCTACCTCAGCATCCCTCATTGCTGGCATTACAGGCATTTGCTACAGCACTCAGTGCATCATTTCCCTTCTTAGGATAATATCATCTTGGTTTCAGAGAACTACTCATCCCTCACTCTCATTGTGGTTGAGGTGGAGCCATTTTACCCTAGGTCCATGGTGGGTGCAACTCAGGCCAGCCAATCGGAGTCACTTAGTTCACATCAGGTGAACTAGTGTGGCCCAAACTAGGCCATGAGCAACAGCACTGGGACTTCTGATACACCAGCTGGGAAAGAGGTGCTCTCTTAGTTTGTGGTACAGGGATGGGGACATGGAACTACGGAAGTACGGATGCACTATCTTTGCCACCTTCCAGGGAAAAGTATCCTGGGGAATGAAGCCAACACAGGTGAAAACAGAGGCGAGTGAGTCCTGATGACCACAGCATCTGTATTCTGCTGGGCCTGACATACATTAGTGCCTTGGGCTATCCAGTTATTTGAGTAGCTGCACGTAAAGATCCAGGGTTCAATCCCTAGCTCTCCCCTGCCCAAATAAATGTAAAGCCAACTACATCAATAATCACCCACCCTCCTTCCTTCCTTCCTTCCTTTTTGTACCAGGGATCGAACTTGGGACCTTGTGCTTGCAAGGCAGGGAGTGAAATCACTGAGCTAAATCCCTGGCCCTTTTTTTTTTGGTACCGGGAATCGAACTCAGGACCTTGTGCTTGCGAGGCAGACATGGTGCCACTGAGCCAAATCCCCAGCGAGTCAATACATTTCTTTAAAAAAATTTTTTTTTCCAGTACTGGGGATGGAACACAGGGCCTTGTGCATGCAAGACAAGTGCTCTACCTCTCAGCTACATGCTGCTCTATTAGATTACATATAATCTGAAGAGCTCACGTAGACAGAGCCCCAGGTTTGATATTTGCTCAGCAACACTCCTCAGTGCTGACAGATTTCAGATTCGCCTTCCTGACTGGTCACCCACCCACCAACCCCACTCACGCCTGTGATCTTCTTCTTGCACTTGGCACAGCTGGGGGCGTAGCGCACATCATAGCAGGGGGGGCAAAAGATAGCCCCTTTTTCCTCAAAGAAGCCACCCTCCTCCAGGATCTTTCCACACTGGCTGCACACAAACTCCTCCGGGTGGTATGCATGGCCCAATGCCACCAGGTATCGGCCCCTGGAAGGAGGTAACAGAAGGAACATATGCAGATAAGGTAGGAGTTTCAAATAGGCTCAGGAAGAAAATTGGCCAGGGTCACACACAACAGTGATGAAGCTTAAAGGGGGCCAGCTTGGTCACACTGCACTGCTTTGATGACAGGAGAGTTTCGGAGCCAGGAAAACTGAATGGGAGCTGATGGCTTGAACCTAATGAGACACCCCGGAGGGACTATGCCCTAGGACAAAGGAGGCCAGCATGCTGCTGAACACCAGTGCAGATCCTGTCTTGTCTATCTGGCCTGGGGCAGAACCTGCAACTCTGACAGCAGAGGCTTAGCAGAGACTGAGTGAACAGGGGTAGTAAGATGCAGAAGGGCCAGGAAGGGACAGGTCCTTCCTTGTCCAGGGAGCAGTTAGTCTAGCAATGTAGCTTCAGGGCGTTGCTGGCACTTTACTCCATTTCACTGGGGCAAACTTTGCTAGAGGGTGGTGTGGATGGGGTCATGGGGAGGGGTACATAGTGCGGGATTAAGAATCTGAACACCCAGGCCAGGGCCCTAACCCAACTCCAACTGGCAACTCAGTCCTCACTCTCTCCCAGTAGCAGCTGAGACAAGACAGGTGGGCAGGACAGAAAAAGCCAGGGCAGGGAGGGCAAAGGGCCACCCACCGGATGACCTTGTGGCACTGGTGGCACACGGGAGTCTTGCCATTGTTGGCTCCTCCAGTGCCCCCTCCAGCAGCGGCCTGCACGATGGAGGTGCGGTTCTGCAGAGGTGTGGGTGTGGCTGGCTGGCTGTGCCGGGTCAGCACCGTGCTTGTTTTGTCCGGGGCATAACGCTCAGCAAACGCAGGGTCCACAGCCCAGGGTGGGCGGCTGGTGGGGCTGGGGGTGGTGGGGCCTGCTAGGGCTGAGGAAAGTGGCTCTAGTGGGGGTGCCCAGGGACCCCAAAGGATGGAGGATAGAACCCAGGGCAGTATAGGGGAACCCACACCCCATGTCTCTGGTGGCTACCCACCCTTCCCCAGGTCAAGTCCACTCTCTCACCAGGCCAAGGATCCTGGGGTGTCGCTGAGGCTGGGGCTGGGGTTTCTGTCCTGGGCACCTGGCTGCAAGATCTGCCATTCAAGGCTGTGTATGGCTGAGGCTCCTGGCATGCCCCCCTGCCCCCAATCTCAGTCCTGCTGGCCCCATGGGAGATGCCTGCATGCATGAGAGTTGCTAGGCTGAACTCTGGGTCCCTCTGGGGTAGGGATGAGAAGGGCTGCTTCTCACAGCTAAATTCCAGCTATGTGGTCTGTTGTACAGGACTGGGAGGTGGAGCAAGGTTCCCACTCTTGGGATAACTCCTGGGGCTCCTCTCAGCCCACAGAGTCACTGTGGTGAGGTACGGCCCTCCCACTAACACGAGACTGGCAGGGCCCACGTTGACTCTGAACCACCAACACCCCCATACCCAAAATGCAAACCAGTCCCACAAAGATAGAAGACAGAGGCAGAGAAAGCAGGTTGAGAATGTTTATTTCCATGCTGAAAGGCAGCAAAGCCCTGGCACACAGCAGTACCATAGGACAAGGAGGGAAGGCAATGTCAGACGAAGCCAGGTCCCGTGCCAGGTGGGCTGCTGGGGCCATTCCAGCAGGAGGCTTAGGCCAGAGGCAGAAAAGGGACAGGTGAGATAGGCAGATGCTAGAGCATCATGGCCAGGAGGAACACAGAGAGGTAAAGAGAGCAGCCCGCTGGAGAGGGTGGGCTATGACTGCACGTTGAGCACGTGGGCAGAGCGCTGGTGGTGCCAGTCCCGGAGGCGGGTGTAGCGTGGGCTCTGTAGCTCCAGGACATACTTTTCCCTGAGGGGCAGAGAGAGGAGAAGGAAGTGAAAGCAAGGAGAGATGCAAGGGAGGGAGGGAGGGAGGGATGAAGGAAGGAAGAAAAGGAAGAACGAAGTGCTTTGGCTGGAGGGGGCCAGGAGCAGTCAAAGGATCAGTGGCTGGGAGGCAGGGGTGAGTACTAGCCTATTACCTTGATTTCTTCAGATGCTCCTCATCCGGGTCTTGCACTGGGAGAGCAGAGGCAGACATTGACCAAGAGAAAGGAGGGTCACCCCAGGCTTTGAGTCCCCACAGAGGGTCAGGCCTAGGCCACGGCTAGGAGAGTCTGCCCTGCCCTGGGCTGGCACTTACTGAACTCGGTGCCCGTGAGGTGGGCGAGGATGCGGAAGGAGCGGGACTGGCCTGTCCCAGGCCGCGGCCGCCAGTCCTCGGTATTCTCCATCAGCCGCTGCTTGCTGGCATCGGGGACCAGCGGGCGGAGCGGCTGTCTGTAGGAAGGTGGGGAGCTCAGAACCTGACGCTGCTGTGGGGCAGTAGAGGTAGCCCCTCCCAGGGTTTGTGCCCGTGGGTTATGGTGACAGCTGAGAGGGGTAAGGTGAGACCAAGGGCCCTGCTGGGGTGGGGTGGGAAGTGAGAGAGGGCAGGAGGGTAGCCAGGGTATGGAGGGGCTACCACCCAGAGTGACGAAAGGAAGGAGAAAAGGAACAGGCAGAGGGGGCTCACTGACTTGTCAGGGGTCTGCACCTGTGAAGGAAACAGACAGATGGACAGATAAAGGGACAGACAGGGAAAGGAAGAAAGATGGGGAAGGGTGGGGGGTGCAAGGCAGCAGAATATCTGGGGCTCAGCTGGCTCAAAGCCACACCTCAACCCCAGGCCGCAGGCAGAGGCAGGAGGGGGCTTGGCTCATTCAGAGACCTGGATAGCGCCTTCTCTGAAACAAATCCCTTAGGAGGGGCCCCGTGCCTGCAGTCCCCAACCCGACCACCAGGGGTCGCTGCCGCACGGTTCCCGCCGGGCTGGGGCTGGGGCTGGGGCTTAGCGCAGACGGAGCAGCAGTGTGCAGCGGGCCCGGGGCCAAGAGAGGACTGGACAGCGTGGCCGGGCAGGGGCTGACGTACCCATTCTGCTGTGGGGCGCTGTCAGCGTGCAGGGGTGCCCCAAAGGGTCGGGCCGTCTTGTTGAGGGAGGCACTGGGCGCAAAGGTGTACCGCGGGGGGTCCGCGGCGGGGGCCAGGGCCTGGGCAGAGACAGAGCCAGGCAGGGCCAGGGCAGGAGTGGGTGGGGACCTAGGTGGAAGTGGGGCGCCCCCCTGGAAAGGACAGCAGCAGCTCCAGCTCCACCCCCACACATCTGGCCAAAGGCTCTGTTGAAGGGGGTGACTCGGGTTTCAAGGGGCCCATTTGGGAGCGATGATCTCAGCCGCCATGGCCAAGGGAGAACCAAGAGTGGGCGGGTGAGCGCGCAGCACAGGCCGGTAGGAAGGAGGCAGGCGGACAGACAGGCAGACATGCGTGTGCCCAGACCGTGCGGCAGCCCCTAGGTCCACTCCTAGCTCTCCAGACCCTGCCTATTTTGGCATCTAGCCTCAGACCTCGGCAGGATGGAAGTACCCAGGTCACACCCAGGAGCCAGTCAGCTCAGGAGTCCACGCCCCTCCCACCCGCAGCCCAGATGTCCCCAGCCCACAACCTACCTTCTGTGGTTTGCTCTGAACTGGCTGAGACCTGGAAGAAAAGGGAAAGCGATGATGGCAGGTCACGCCAGAGGGTATCTCCACCCCCAGGCAGCCAGGGCCCACACCTGCTGAGACCCAGGCTAAGGCGCTCCCCACAGGCACGGATCTTGTTCTGGGCTTCAATGTGCGTGAGGCTCCCTGCATTCTCGCCATCGATGCTCAGCAACCAGTCGCCCACTGCCACGCCAGCCTGTGCAGCTTTGCCACCAGGAGTGAGCTGTGGAGAGGAAGGATCTAGAGCCCAGAGACCTGCAGTCATCACTTCTTTAGGTAGCTGATGGATACTCAAGGGACCTGGGGAGTGTACTCACTGAAACCACACAATTTCTTCTGTCACCCACGCCCCTCCCTCATAGCCCAGATATGCTATGACATCAACAGCTACCCTGAGGCTAAAACCCAAGCTTCTGGCTAATGACCACAGCCTTTGGAGGCCCTGCTGGCCTTCTGCCCAGACCGGTCCACCTACCAGTATGCCCTCTAGTTTGTGCATGTGGCAGCTTCATCCCTGGCACTGCTGGGTGCATTCACTGACCTCTTTCACCGCTAGCACCCAGTTGTAGGGCCTTCTGCAGGAATCTGCCTGGACCCCAAGAAGAACCAGGAATATGGGCAGGTTCCCTGTGAACGGTGCCTAAACATGGCCCAATGTGTCACCTGGTGCTTTGTAGGCTGGAAACAGTGTCCCCCCATACCCAGTTCTTTAGGCTCTGAGTTGGGAATCCCTGGTTTTTGAGGTAAATGAAGGGATCGAGCAGGCTGGGTAGGGCAGCGGCCATTTGCATTAGCTGATGATTTCTGGGAAATGGTGAGCCTCAGTCAAAGGAGAACGGAGGCCAGGGTAAGATGCCATTTATCAAGGCCTCAAACACCTCGAGAAAGAAACAAGCTTTGGCCTTGAGTGTAAAGGAGCCACTAACAGTTTTCAGGCCCAGGATGGGGTGTTTCTAGGCTCCTGATAAAGCTGACCCTGACAAAGCCTATTGGGTCTACCTAGCTCAGCCCCAAAAGCACAAGCCCATGAGACTATCCAGCCATCAGGCAAGGGGCCTGGTGCTGCGTTGGACAGACTTAGTTTATATTTCACAGATGGTAGTGCAAATGGGGGTTACGGGCTGCTTGAGGCCCAAAGGGGCACCTTAGCTGGGTTAGTGCACAGCTTGCTGAAGCAGGGAGGAGAGGTGAAGGATTCTAGAGAGATGCTGGAAGCAGAGGGACCAGCACTGGGGCAAAAGGGGGAGCTGGGCTTGACAGCTCTATTTCATGCTTTCAGGGCATGCTAAAAAAGTAGAGAGCTGCTGGCCCCTTCTTCACCTGCTAAATAGAAAATACAGTGTAAGAATAGCAGTTTACATTTACTGAGCACCTATAATTGCTGCATATTGACATGGAATCCTGCGGGAGTCTTCATTTGTATCAACTTCACAGATAAGAAAACAGAGATTTAGCACTTTGCTTCAAGTTACCCACCTAAGAGGCAGGGCTTGGATCTGATCCCAATCCTAAGTCTCCACCACTCCAGGCTGAGAGTGGGGCCAATACACCAAAGGAAGACTCCTTGAGCCCCTGGATGGGTTTGGGGCCTGGATCCCCCATCTCACCTTCATTCAAAACAAACCCCTATAACGGGCACAAGGAAGTGACATGCTTGAAAGGAAGTGACTTATGAAAGGTCTTGGTGAGTCAGTAAAAGGGAAACCTGGTTCAGCCACTCCCTGCTTCTTGGGAGGTGTGGGGTGAGCTAGGAGCAAGGTGGGGGTCTTGGGGTAGGAAGAAGTAGCTGGCTCTAGGAAAAGGGGTGTATTGGGGTTGAGGGATTACTTTCTTCCCTGGAGCAAGGAGCACAGGAAGTACAGGAAGGGTAGGGAAGTGGTCAAAGAGATGGAGATCAAGGCAGGCGAGAGCTCTTGGGGGGAGGTGGCTTGAGGGAAGAGGCTTGGGCCAGGGGCAGGAGTCAGCACAAGGGATTAAGGAGGGGAAAAGCCAGGGGGCTGGACATTATGGATAGGGGTGAGTCAGCCTGAGGGATTCACTGAACTGCCCAACCCCCCAGCCCCAGACATTACCTCATCTCCCAGGCCTACAGCCAGCCCTAGCCCCTCCCTTCTTCCTCCGCTGTGGGGTCAGGGGAGGGATGGGGGGTGGCCCAGCTCAGGAAAGACCACCCCACCCATTAACCATCCACCCCTCAGGGCCTAGATCCAACTCCAGGGCTGGGCTCAACTGGTGGCCCCATCCCCACAGACAAGGAGCCCAGGCCTGGAGTGCCCCCAACAGGCCACAAAGGAAAGGTCATTCTCATTAGTGAAGAAACTAAGGCTAAGAACAGCAACACTCACCATTTTTCCACAAAGGGGGGGATATAGAATAGGCCTGAAGACTGTATAGAAGGTATGTGTGCGTACAGGAACCACTGCCCTCAGTTACCCTGCTCCAGGACAGGTCCCAGGAAAGCCCTGTGGAAGGATACCTGAGAATGCTGCCTGACTGCTTGTCCTGGACACCAAACCCAATTCTCACACATACTCTGCCCTGAGGCCCTCTCAGGTTGGGCAGTGCCTGGAAAACCCTCTGGCCTCCTCTAGGATACGCTTGCCCTGAACTTCCTGCAAATAGCTGCCTGCTCACTAGGTGGCTAGCTCGGCCTCTGGGCAGAGGGGTGTGGAAGCAGGAAGTCCTGGCCTCCTCCTGACCCCTAGGCCAGCAACACCAAACCCACAGGCTGGCCTCATCCAATTTGCTCTGAGTCCCACAACTAGATCCTGTAGCAGGCACTGCAGCCTGATGTCAAGTGAAGGGCCTGCTGATGGGGTTCAGGGGTCCAGGCCTAGGCTAACTCTTTTGGACTCTGTAGTCTAACCACTGTTGGGCATCCCAGATAGAGCTGCGTTCCTGGGCTTATAAGGCAATCCCCCTGCCACAGGGAGGAGCCAGTCCCCAGCTCCACCCCCACCAGACAGATACCCTCGAATTGGAGTCAGAGGCCTACAGCCCTGCCTTGCTACAGTTCTGCTTAGGATCAAAGGCCACCAAGTCCTGAATGAGAACAGGATGGGGATGTTCACTGTCGGGGATGTTCACTGTTGAGGATCTACATAGGCTGGGAAGAGAACCCATTCTCTAACCTCCCCAAATTACAGGCCATCCTATGCCTTAATTCAAATCCCTGCTTTGCCATGGATTTGCTGAATAAGCCCTTCCATCTTTCTAAATTGTATCATTTAGCGAAATAAGATGACAACTGCTAGTCAAAGTGCATTGCCTAGTGTCTAGTGCTACACATTGCTCCTTTGAACTCAGATACTTCCTGGAGATGCAAGGCTCCTACTCTACAGAAGAGCCCCCACCTCCAACCTAGGCCACAGGAGCTTGGCGGAATGGCCTCAAGTACAGTGCAATGCTAGGAAATTTGGGCACTCCTCTCCCAGGATCAAGATCCTGGGCTTACAAGAAAGGCACGGTGCCACTGAGCTAAATCCCTGGGGCAACCATTACATTCCTGAACCTGGACTGCTGGTCTCTGGCTTGTTCCTGCTCAGGTTCCTCTGATCACCCACTGGAGACCTGAGCACCCAGACTCCTGAGGGTGTCTGTTTCCCAACCTAGGCTCACCCGGGAAATGGAGAGGGGCACATTGAAGTCCTTGCCCCCTTGCAGCCGGAAGCCCCAAGGTGCTGGCCCCTCCAGTACTACTTTGAAGGAATCCATGGTGCCTCTCCTGAGAGAGAAGAGACAGTGAGTGGCGGGCATTGCAGGCAGACCCACAGGCAGACCCCAAGATCTGGACACCATCCTTGGACAGGTGCCAGCCAGGCAGAAGATGCTAAGCATACCCAAGGTCGGCAAGTGTAAGTTTTGGCTGGGCCAAACTTAATACCTCACTTAGACAAGGGCAGCCCCCTCTCTCAAGAACTGGAAAGGTGAAGGGACCTCATTAAGGCTCCAGGTTCTTTTCACCCAGGGGTGGTCTGTGGAACTAATTTGGCAGGACCTCCCCCCAAGCCAGCCTGGAGTGTCGGACGGCAGGGTGAGTCAGGCAGGGACCGGCTCTTCTCTCCCCCGCCCCCAGGTCCCGGCAGGCAAGCCGCAGCTGGAGCCTGCTCAGACTATATAAGGCGTGTAAGCTGACACTGCGGAGAGCCTGCGGAGGGAGCACTCAGGGGCTCGGGATGTGAGGGGGAGGGGTGGGGAAGGAGGCGGCTGGAGCGGGTCTTAGCCCTAACGGATGGGTGAAGGCAGGATCCCTGGGTGCTTAAGTGCGGCGTGGGGGGAGCGGAGTGGGGCTCTGCCTCTGCGGAAAGCAGCGAGGGCAGCGACCCCAAGGCGTGGCCAGGAAGGGGATCTATCCTGTAATCCAATGGGGGTAGTGCCACCCGCGTAGGACTGCTCTCACCCCGACTGGACTCAGTTTACCTCTAGTTCCCATGCCCGGGGCACGTCCCAGCCAAAGAAGCGGCGCAGGCGCCAATCCGCCTCGCCACATTCGGCTTCGCGGCAGGAAGGCGGGGGCGGAGGCAAGGGCCAGAGCCCGCGGGAGTAAGCACAGCACTGGCCAAGGTCCCCAATGCCCTCCATGGCCCTCGGCAGGCCCTTGGCTATCGCCTGCCCAGCCCCAGACGC